ATCCATCTCATTGAAGGCCTTCCCCTCTTTCGTCAAACCTCCATCTTACCAAGCATGACATCCTTTTCCAGGGAATGGTTCCTTCTGACAACATGACCAAAGTAGGTGAGACAAAGTCTGGCCATTCTCACTTCCAAGGAGCATTCCAGCTGAACTTCCTCAGGACAGATTTGTTAGTTCTTTTAGCAGTCCATGGTACTTTCAGCATTCTTCACCAACACCACAACTCAAAAGCATCAATTCTTCTTCAATTCTCCTTATTCATTGTGCAGCTTTCACATGAATATGAGGTGATTGAAAATACCATGGCTTGTGTCAGGCACACTCTAGTCCTCAAGGAGACATTTTTGCTTTTCAGCAATTGAAAGAGGTCCGTTGCAGCCGATTTGCCCAGCTCTGGTAGCACAGTGCCTAAGGCACTTGAAACCCACTTCAAACCCACCAGCCACTCCTCGGAAGGAAGATGGGGCATCTACTTCCGTAGTGATACTGCCTCGGAAACCCAAGGAGGGATCACTATGAGTTGGGTCTGACTCGACAGAACATAACAACAACATACTTCGCCTGATGTCCTGACTGCTGCTTCCACTGGCATTGATTGTAGAAACTAGCAATATAAAGTCTTTGACAACTTCAATCTTTTCTCCATTTATCATGCTGCTGCTTATAGGTCTAGTTGTGAGAATTTTTGTTTTCTTTATATTGAGATGTAATCCATACTGCAGACTGTATTCTTCAGTCTTCATCAGTAAATGCTTCAAGTCATCCTCACTTTCAGCAAGCAAAGTTATGTCGTCAGCATATCGTAGGTTATTAATGATTTGTCCTCCAATCCTGATGCCACGTTCCTCTTCATATAGTCCACCTTCTCGTATTATTTGTTCAGCATACAGATTGAATAAGGATTGTAAAGGATACAACCCTGACACACTCCCTTCTTGATTTTAAACCATGTAGTGTCCCTTTGTTCTGTTTGAACAACAGCCTCCTGGTCTATATACAGGTTCCTCATGAGTACATTCAAGTGTTCAAGAATTCCCATTCTTCTCAATGTTACCCATAATATGTTATGATCCACACAATCAAATGCCTTTGCATAGTCAATAAAACACAAGTAAACATCTTTCTGGTATTCTTTACTTTCAGCCAAGATCCATCTGACATCAGCAATGATATCCCTCATTCCACATCCTCTTCTGAATCCAGCTTGCATTTCTGGAAGTTCTCTGTCAATATACTGCTGCAACCATTTTTGAATTATCTTCAGTAAGATTTTACTTGCATGTGATATTAATGATATTGTTCGATAATTTCCACATTCTGGGAATCACCTTTCTTTGGAATGGGTACATATATGGATCTCTTCCAGTCAGTTGGCCAGGTAGCTGTCTTCCAAATCTCTTGCCATAACTGAGAGTGCCTCCAGCAGGGCATTCGTTAGTTGAAACATCTCACTGGGTATTCTGTCAATTCCTGGAGACTTGATCTTCACCAATTTTTTCCTTTCGATCCATAAGCAGGGTTTAAAATTTTCATTAAAACTGTGGGTTTGTTTATTTCTCTTTGTAACTCTGTGACCTTAAGCTTTTTATGTTTTAAGCATTAGTGGTACATACAAGTTTACAACTGTGATACCAACTTTTTAAGTGATTATACCTTGTCATTATGTCTAAACTCATAAACCTTAATAATGTTTTTGCTTTAAGTCTGTTTCATCTTGTATCAATATAGCTATTCTACCATGCTAGTTTCCTTTTTACTAGTACTTTTCAAGTGTTATATTTTTATCCTTTTACTTTCAACGTTTGTGTCCTTGTATTTTAGTTTTCCTTGTATAAATATAATTATAATCCACAACAGCAATGTCTTTTAACTAATGTATTTATTCCATTTATAGTCATTTTGATTTATTTGAGTACATTTTTGAAATAAAACTCAAAGCACTTTGTTTTTCTATTGTTTTCTGAGTTTCCTCTTCTTCCTCCTCACTTCCCATTCTTTTTCTGTATCGTTTAACCCCAAACCCACTGCCACTGAATTGATTCCAACTCATCATGACCCTATAGGACAGAGTAGAATTGCCATATAGAGTTTCCAAGGCTATAAATCTTTACGGAAGCAGACTACCTCATCTTTCTCCCACAGAGCAGCTGGTGGGTTTGAACTGCCAACCTTTTGGTTAGCAGCTATTTTAACCACTATGCCCCCAACACTCTTTTGAATGGTCTGGGTTTTCTTTCTTTATTTTTCTTTTAACCTCTGCTGGTTTAGAAATTATATTTTATTTCTATTTTGTGAGGTTACAATTAAAATATTAAGCACATATAAAATCTTAAGCACATCAACATATATATTGTTGCACATCAACATAATATATGTGGATATTTAATCATCTATCTTCCTTCTGAACAATGCTTAGAATGTCTTTCAACAATCCCATCCTGTATAGTGCTGCTTTGCTTTAATTCTCCTGAAACTAGTCATTTCTTGTTCTTTTATCACATCAGTTTTTTAAGACTTGGCTACACTTTTGCAAATTTCTTTATTCACTCTTCTTCCTTGCATTCCCTGGTCTCCTTGTAGGGCTCAATTTTCTTCTTCAGGAACATCTTCTTGCAGTTTTTTTTTTTTTCTTTTTTTTAAATAAACACTTTTAGTAAGGAACTTCTAAATTTTCAACTTTTGTCTGAAAATGTTATTTCTGCTTCTCTTGAATTATAGTTTAATGGGCTTATTTTAACTCAGTACTTTGAAGTTATTATTTTCTTGTGTTCAACATCAACACTATAACTCAAAAGTCTGCTGTTAGTCTGCCAACCTTTTGTTAGTAATCTACTATCTCTGATTACTTTGACAAGTTTCTTTGGTTCTCTGCAGTTTCACTATATTTAGGTTTTAAGTTATTTGTGATTATCTCATTTGGTACTTGTCATTTTTTTTCTGGATCTAATGATCATGGCTTTCTAAGTTCTGAAAAATGCTATTATCCCTTCAAATATTGCCTCTTCCCCTTTTTCTCAGTTCTCTCCTCTGGAACTCCTATATTAGATGCATTTTGGAATGTCATTCTATCATCCACATGTTCACTTTTATGTCCTCCAAACCCAACAGTGCCTGGCAAGTAAGTGTTCAATGTATTTCTGTGAAATGAGTGTCTGTAGAATACAGTAATTATTTATATTGAACTCATCTTGGACATCAGATTAAACATGCAAGGCCAAGTTCTCAAAATAAACTAGCATTCTCTGGAGCTCAAGTACAAATCTTCAACCTGGTAGCCAATCAGGACACAAAAATAGTGAAATCTGGCATCAGTTAATAACAGGAATAATTTTTTTTTTCCCCAGGTATGCCTTGTGGGGCAGGATTTCTTCTCTATTTTGAGGAAAATGGACACAATAGCTCCAAAAATATTAGTGAACCAACCTACTGACACACTATAAATGATATGAAATCAAGATTCAGTTCATGTTTACTTAAGTCTCCTTTGGGTACTTACTGTACAAGAGAATTAAGTAATAGTTTGTATTGATTGTGCATCTGCTAGGATATAAATCTCACAAGGTAGGCATTGTTATCAATATTTCTTGTAATTAAACTGAGTTATAGTTGAGCATGCTCCAAGTCACACAGCTAGGACAGACTGAACTCAAATTTGATCAAATGTCTGCCCAGTTCCAGAGCCCATGTGCCTTCCCCCATGCCTTCTTAGGTGTCATGATGCTGCTTCCTGGGCAAAGACTTAACAGTTGGAAACCAGAACCAACTCTCAGTCAGACAGGAAGTGGGTACTCGGGGACTTACACTGTGGTACTGGAACCCTGACATTTTGGCTCATTAACTTTTAATGAAAACTTTAATGTCAACTTTCTCAAAAAAACACTTTCTACTCATTCACATATATTATTGCATAACTGCATTAAATCTTCACTCCACATTCATGAGCAGAGGAAGCAGCAAGATAATTACTCCATCTTACACATGAACAATGTAAGATGCACAATGAAGGGCCTCTTCGAAATTTATACCATGAGTGAATGGAAGAGTAAAACACAGCTCTCCTTCCAGCTCTCCAACTTCATCGTTCTCTAAGACAGTTGTTGTGTGCCGTCGAGTCGGCCCCGACTCATAGCGACCCCTCCTTGGGTTGCCGAGGCATTATCACTATGGAAGTAGATTGCCCAACCTTCCTTCTGAGGAGTAGCTGGTGGGTTTGAACCACCAGCCTTCTGGTTAGCAGTCAAGTGCCTTAGGCACTATGCTACCAGAGCTCCTTCTAAGACAGTAGAGGGCCCTCATTTGCAGTTATAGAATGATGTTTCATACTATAAAAATTTTTTTAACAAAAAATTAGAGAAATTATAAACAAACACAAATTTGTTCTTTAAACTGTGGGGAAGTATTCATAGATGATTTTTTACTTTTATCAATTAATTAAAAAATTTACTATTTACTATATTCCAGGTATTGTGTTGGTTATACTTTAGGTAAAAACATCTGGGCATTTTAGAATTTTGTCTTCATATCAAATGAGGCTTGGGGTGTGGTCTCTTTAAGATTTATAAGGAAACATTTCATCTAATTACCTGAAACATGTCAACTAAGTCCTAATCATTTCCTACCATAATTGTAGTGTATTTATACTGACAGATATCCTACCAGCTATCATTCAAATAGAAAATTTTATTGAAAATATGAGTAATTTTTATGATGCAAGTTCACATCCATTACAATAAGATCATGAAAATTGGTTGGACAAGCAAGGAACAGATTTCTCGTTGTGATGTGATATCATTGCAGGGAATCACTGATATTTTACTTCAACTGTTTTTTTCTCATGTGCCCATCCATATACAGTCTGGAGCTAATTCTGCAAAAGGGAAAAGAGACAATCACAGTACATGGTGTATTACAGATGTAGGTTTTCCAACTCAACCAAAAGCCAGGTGCCCCAGAATGCATAGATGGTACAAGCATTTCAGAAAGTGTTACTATCAATTCTAATTATCTGGTTTTTGAACAGTGGTTTTAACATGCTTTTCCAGTTCCAGCAAGCTTTGGTAAAATTTTTCAGCACTGTCTTCATCTAGGTCCATCTGGAAAAGAAGCAAAAATAGGGATAATTAGGAAAGAAAAATGAATTGAGTATAATTTTCATAAAAAGAAGGCATATAATATGTTTAAGGGAACTGGGGGAAAAAAAAAAGGACCAGCAAAAAGCGCTATAGTGGCTGTCTGTGGGGACTGTTGGTAAATTATGAGAATCTGATGACATATTAATTCTCAATCTAACTCCAACCCTCACCAAACCTATACGTAGATGTATCTCCTAAAAAGCAAGATGGAGATATCTGAGTTGTACTGTCTCTCTAATGCCTATGTCCCCAGGGATGTTGTTGTTGTTGTTTTGCCGTCGAGTCAGACCCAACTCATAGCGACCCCTCCTTGGGTTTCCGAGGCAGTATCACTACGGAAACAGACTGCCCCATCTTCCTTCCAAGGTAGTGGCTGGTGGACTTGAACCGCCAGCCTTCTGGTTAGCAGTCAAGTGCCTTAGCCACTATGCTACCAGAGCTCCTGTCCCCAGGGAAAGAAGATACCAAACAACTGTGACGTAAAAAAGGATAAAAGAGGACAATCAAGGGCTTTTTGAAATTCTAACTATAACTTACTCACCTCCTAATATCTATTTATTTTACTTCTTTAGTAAAAGAGCCCTGGTTTTAGCTGGGTTCACTGCCCTCCAAATAAAAGATTCCATTTCCCAGTACCCACTGAAGCTAGTTAGTGCCAAGTTGACTATGTTCTGGCCAAAAGGATGAAACTGGAAGTGTTGCATGGTATAACTCAGAAGTCTCTTTATAAGGAATGGGCATCTTTGTCTTTTCTCCTTGCTCACTTGGGCCTGAACAATGAGGGCCACACCCTAGAGATGGCAGAACACTAACTAGAAGGAACCAGATGCCTGACATCTTATGGAGCTGCCATGTCAGCCCAGGACTGCCTTTCTCCAAATTGCTTTGACATATGAGAAACTTAGGCTTCTATCATGTTCAATCTACTGTTATTTTATAATCTTGTTAGGTCATGAATATGGGTTGGTAAGCAATGAAGAAATTTTCTAATGCTGTCAAGGGTCAGGACTGGTATTAGCGTGGACTAACTCAATTTTCATTAAGAGATACTTTTAAAATAAGAAAAAAATAATTCAGGGGCCTACAAACATATATATTTTTGTTCCTATGATTAACTCCATTGACATTGTACTCAGAATTGTTAAAATCTAATCTAAACTGATCTGTATGTAAAATCAAACTTTGTTGTTATTGTTGTTATGTGCCGTTCAGTCGGACCCGACTCATAGCGACCCCTCCATGGGTTTCCGAGGCAGTATCACTATGGAAGTAGATTGCCCCATCTTCCTCCTTCTGAGGAGTGGCTGGTGGGTTTGAATCGCCAGCCTTCTGGTTAGCAGTTGAGTGCCTTAGACATTATGCTACCAGAGCTCCAAATTAAACTTTAGACCCTATAAAATAAAGTGATATCTTAATTTAAGTCAGTACAGGCCTTGAACTTCAAAACCAGGCTTTTTCTTCACATAGTAGAAAGGTTAAACATTAAAAAACACTTTTTAATATTTTGGAAATAACATTTATACTCATTCAGTCACCGTAGAATTTTCCATGTTGGCACTGGAAGAAGTATTCTAGTTCTACTCCATCTTTTAACAGAGAAGAGAGCCGATTTCTCCAAAATAATCTAAGGTTAAAATAAAACACTTTTTTCCTTGGGCTTCCATAAAATGTTAATAAAATACTTTGGTTTAAAGAATTAAACATTTTCTCCCTTTGGAAAATAAGTTTTTCCCTCCAGAGGAAAGGACAGCAAGTCCAAACAATCTTTGAGGGCCTAAAATAAATTTATTAATTTAGAACAGAGTTCCCAAAGTGTATTCTTTGGGCTATTATATAAAATTAAAAAACACACATATATATATGAAAGCTCTGGTGGTGTAGTGCCTAAGGCATCTGACTGCTAACCTTCAAACCCACCAGCCACTCCTCAGAAGGAAGGTTGGGCAATCTACTTCCGTAGTGATACCGCCTCAGAAACCCAAGGAGGGGTCACTATGAGTCGGATCTGACTCAACGGCACATAACAACACAATATGAAAATTTGGAAAAACCAAGATTAAACAATTTCACACAGACTTCTTAATTGTAGCAATTTCTCAAAGCCTTCACTGGGCTAAAGTGCATTACATACATCTCTGAAATACCAAGCCCTCTACCTTTAAGTCAATTCTGATTTATAGTGATCCCATAGGGCAGAGCAGAACTGCCCTGTAGGTTTTCCAAAGCTATAAATCTTTACAGAAACAGACAATCACATCTTTCTCCCATAGAATGGCTGGTGTGTTCAAATCACTGAACTTATGGTTAGCAGCCCAGCGTTTGACCACTGAACCACCACCGGTGTGTAACCACTCTGAAACAGGGGGTGATAATATGATGAATTACTAAACCTTACTTGCCTGAGGAACCTCTTTTTGCTAATCTTCTTAAGGAACTAGTTAGTATTTAGCAGAACATACTTTGGAAAGTGCTGGAAAGTACCAGGGGAAGCAGAGATCACTGTCAATTATTTGAGTTACCTGAGACAACCTATTTACCTCAATCTGGTGCCAAAATGGATAAGGTATCTGGCTGCTAACCAGAAGGTCAGCAGTTCAAACCCACCAGCTGCTCCATGGAAGGAAGATGAGGTGATCTGCTTCCGTAAAGATTTACAGCCTCAGAAACCCAATGAGGGTCACTATGAGTCAAAATCGACTCAAAGGCAGTGGGCTTGCATTGGTTTGCACCTTTATTTTATTTCAATGTCTCCTCACAATAAGCTAGGCAGTGAAAATGAGGCTAAAGTAAACCTTATTCATGAGAAGAACACAACAAAACTACTCTTAAAGGTCAAAAGTAAATTTACTCATTTCCTAATACGTAACTGTTTGATTTCTTTTTAAAAGATTATAAAGAATCCAAAAAACATAGAACTGATATTTTTCCATACTCTATCCCCTGCCTCTTCAAAACATCATCATTTTCTGCAATCTATTAAAGCTGACAGCTGCTACAAGCAGAAATGGTGTTAAAACTTCCCAGGGAAGTTAACTTCACACAGAAAGACACTACATTTCATCCAACTTGCAACACATTTACTCAGCACCAACAATATATAAGGCACCAGGCCGGGAAAGAAGGATATAATTCTCATTTTATATTGTCACAGGGGAGCCCTGTGGTGAACAAATGCTACATAGAGAACAGGGAGCCTATAAGAGATCCATAAGTGGTCTATCGGGTCACAGAAGGCTGAGCTATGAGCTGAGATCTTAAGGGTGAGTAAGTTGAATGAGAAAGGACAGGGCAGTCTAGGTAGCAAGAGCAAGATGTGCAAAGGCTCAGAGGCAAGATGGAGCAGAAAGTGAAAAAAGACCAATGTAGCAGGTGAACAGAGTAAAGATCCAGGGAAGAGAGCCGGGAAACCTGTGGCCTGGTCAGGAAAGTAGGGATCAATTCACCAGCCTACCAGCAAGCATTTTTAATGTAGCAATATAAACAGATTTACCTTTTGGTGTATTACATAATTGTTTCCAAAGCCAGTAGTGGCACTCATATATTTGGTTAGAGGATTGAGAGACTCAGGCTTTTGGTGGAAAAGCCATACCTGGAAAATAAAAGAGTGTATCAATGACTTTCTGTCCAAGGTGAGTGAGATTGGTGGGGATTTGCAACTAGCACTTTACAGAGCACTCCAAATAAAGTCTGAATTCCTCTTAATTATCATTAACTAATTGTAGTATCTTCATGAACCACTGCAGTAATCTGTAGTAAGATGGTAGGGCAAACCTGCTTAATATACTCTTTGAACATTTATTTAAAGTAAAAGAATTCTATTTCAGCTATCTCTTCCTTTCATCCCCAAATTAAAGATCACAGCATAGAGACTAGCTTATTCAGAGCTGATACTCAGTTCATGACAGAGTAAAGTACAGATTACTGATGTAATATTTTATTTTATTAATAGATAAAAGCACACACATATACAGCATTCAAAAGGTTTAATGGTAACAAGTAAGTTTCCCTCCTGTCACAATTTTCCATTCATATAGTCTTTTTTTCTGGAGGCAATTACTCTTACTAGTATCCTGTATATTACTCCAGTTAAAATCTATTCACTTAAAAACATACATGTCCTTTTCTCTTTCTTAAATGGAAGCATATATGCACAACACTCCACAAACATTCCACAAAATTTTTCACTTAAACAATATGCCTTGGTGATCTTTCTGTATCAGTGTATGTACAGCTGTTTCCTTCTTTTTCAAAGTAGGATATGGTATTACACTTTATGAATATACCAAAATTTATATAAACCCAAAACCAAACTTACCATCACTGAATTGATTCTGACTCATAGCGACCCCCTTGGGGTTACCTAGGTGGTAAATCTTTACAGAAGAAGATTGCCCAGTCTTCCTTCTGTGGAGTGGCTGGTAGGTTTGAACTGCCAGTAACATTTTACTGGTTAGCAGTAAAATGCCTTAGCCTCTACTATACTGCCAGAGCGCCTTCAAAGTTATATAAGTAGTCTCCAATTGATGGACACACAGGCTGCATCCAGTCTTTGCTATTACAAACCGTGCTGCAATGAATGTTAAATGCATCTTTCCATACATGTGTAAGTGTCTATCTTTAAGAAAAATGCCAGAGATGGAATTGCTAGGTTACAGGGTATGAGCATTTAATATTCTGATTGATCTTACCAGAGTCCTTGATAGAGGCTATGTCAATTTACCCTTTCCCAGCAATGTAGAAGAGGGCCAGTTTCCCTAGTCTCCAATATCATGCATTTTCAAACTTTCTAATCTTTACTAATCAGAGGTGAAAAACAGCTTTTCCCTGTAGCTCTAATTTGCATTGTTCTTGTGGTGAATGAAGTTGAGCATTTTTCATATGATTAAGACAGATGAAGACCTCTCTGTTCATGTCCTTTACCCATCATTATTTGGAGGTCCAAACCATTTTATTGAGGAATTTTTGAGGGTCTGAAGGGGCAGGGACAATGAGGTCTAATAACCGTGGTCTGGCCAGGATTTCCTGGAACTTGTAGCCACCTCTTTACCCATCATCCTAATGATTGTTTTTTCACTGATTTGTTAAAGTTCATCAGATATTATTAAAATTAACCCTTTGTCTAGGCTATGAGTGACAAATCATCTTCTTCTACTTTGTTGTTAGTTTAGATTGTATGTACAGTGAGGCTTTTGGCTACGCAAAACTTTTTTTTCTTCAGTCGAAATTTTCAGTCTTGTCTTTTATGGTTTCTGGGATTTGTGAAATACTTAGATAAGCCTCCCCACTCTGAAACTACTTAAAATTTTCTCCGTATTTTCATCTAGTTATTTTATATTTTAATTTTTATCTTGTAATGCATTTGGAACTTTACTTTTGTATAAAGCATAAAAAAAGATCCTAGTCTATTTTTTTTAACTCCATAAACTGAATAACCCATCTCTTCCTCACTGAGTTAGAAGCCATCTTTATCATACATTGAATTCCCACATGCTTATGAGCTTATTTCTAGACTCTATTCTGTTCCACTGAGCTGTCAATTTACATACTAGAATTATATTTCTTTATTGAGATACTTTTCTTTAAATGTTAAAGTGTTCAATATGTCAAACCCTTTACAATGCACTACACTCTACTACAAAAGTTTATATGCCTTCTCTTATTCACTTCTACGAGATTCCTATTTTATAAGTAAAAGGTAGGTGAAAATATGTAGTGAGGAAAAAAAAACCTCACTGTCGTCAATTCGATCCCGACTCAGAGTGACCCCTCCTTGGGTTTCCAAGGCGGTATCTACAGAAGTAGATTGCCTAATCTTCCTTCCAAGGAGTGGCTGATGGGTTTGAACCACCAGTCTTCTGGTTAGCAGTCAAATGCCTTAGGCACTATGCCACCAGAGCTCCCTGAAAATATGTAGGCAAGGTTCACAGCCAGAAACCAGAAAACTGGTTAACAGAGTTGATACAGCTCCAGAGGCTAAACTCTAAACCGTCACACTTTAGGTTACTCAAGCTCAGCCCATTTAAGGAGACAAATCTCATCTAAAGATTGAAAAGAGGCTCATGCACACCTGTTGTGCACTCATCCATATCCATCAGCATCTACAACCATCACTGTTGTGGTAACTAGGGTAGATAGTCTACTCATCCACATTTTAGGGAATTACAGCAGGATTACAACAGAAAAAAAAACTTAAACTGTAACACTAGAGTCACACTGCCCATGCTACCTAAATTCCAACTGTCCTTCAGAGCCACATCAAGTTCCAGGAAGTGAGCAAAGGCTGCTCCAAGCACTCCAACCCCCCTGACTGATCCTCCTTTCTGGTCATTCCTAGGGTATTGACAGTAAAACTCCCAGACATCACCTGATGACAGAAAGTCTTATTTTATTCTACATATTCATTCTTTTTTCTAAATGGGATTCTAAGCTCCATAGAAGATACTTTGTTTTTGAAGTATTTACTGATATTCAATATACTTGAGACCTCTTAGCTTAATTTTCAGTGTCATAGATATCCAGAATAAGTAATTTTTAAAGGACTACTGACTAATATACTTAATGTTTTGGCAAAAACATTGTTAGGGATTAAATTGTGTTCCCCAAAAATATTTGTAACTGCCTTTGGAAATGGGTTGTCTTTGTTATGTTAATAAGACAGGATTAGTGTAGGGTGTTTTGTTTTTTTTTAAATTATGATTTGAGTGAAAGTTTACAGAGCAAATTCACTTTCCATACAACAGCTCACATACACTTTGTCTCATGACATTGACCATAATTTCCCACAATGCAAAGCTCCCCTCCCATTTCTTCCCCATAGTTACCTCTTCCCTGTGTCCCTCCCTCCATGCACTCCTGCCCCTTGAGCTGTCTCTGTGCATACACAGCCTTTCTATTCTCCCATGATTGTTTTCTTCAAGGAGTGTATCTACCTAATGTAAATATTCACCTCATATGCCTCTTTTGTTTGGCTGAAAGCCACAGGAATGGGTTCAATTTCAGACCTGAATGAGTTCAATTTAAGACTATGGCAGCTAGGGGCCATAGTCTCAGTGGTTCCATCAGGCTTTATCACACCAACAAACCTTGTCCCCCCCCTTTTTTTTTTAATGATTTTGAGTTTTGTTCCACATTGTTCTCCTACTCTATCCATGATCTCCTACATGGATCCCCCTCTAGGTGGTTGATATTGGTAGCCAGGCACCACCTAGTTCTTCTGGTCTCATAGTCATATAGACTGAGGATTGCATTGTGTACCAGTCCTTTGGACTAACTACTCCCATGCATCTTTGGTTTTCTTCATTATTCTTTGCTCTGGATGAGGAGAGACCCATCATTGCATCTAGATGGCTGCTTGCAAGCTTTTAAGATCCCAGTTGCTATTCGCCAAAGTAGGATGTGGAACAATGCTTTTGTGTAGTATGTTATGCCAATTGAGCTTGATGTTCCCTGCAACCATGGTCCCAAGCCCACAGGTCCAACTACTAGTTCCCTCTGGGTAGCTGGCTGTGGCCAAAAAGTGACTACAACCTTGTCACTTATCAGCTCTATTATAAAAACTCCAAAATCTAAACTCACTGCCATCAAGTTGATTAGACTCATAGTGACCCCTCCTTTGGTTTCATAGACAGTATCCCTATGGAAGTAGATGGCCCAATCCTCCTTCTGAGGAGTGGCTGGTGAGTTTGAACTGCCAGCCTTCTGGTTAGTGGTCAAATGCCTTAGGCACTAGTAGAAATTCTTACAGAATATACAAATACACTTAACTAAGACAGACATAAGAACTAATTTTTAAAAGTTTTAAAAATAGTTTAAAAGCACTTGTTTCTAAAATCAATTTGTACCCCTATAATAAATGCATTTATTTCCCAAAACAAGAACGTCAAGTCATTTCTCTCAATGCTTTTCTTTGTCTATTTCAGTACAGCCAAGAGTTAAGAATCTACTGGTCATAGGCATACAGTGCTAGGCCTTAAGTTTCAAAAATGAAATGCAAAAATCCTGAAGGAGCCCTATATAGCTAAGGAGACAAACACACAAAATAATTCAACAGAATTTCAACAGATCATGTAAGAATAAATGATAATAAGTTTCACCTCATAGGAAAATTGCATCCATTAGTACAGGCTGCCTTTGTTGAAAAATATTCAGAGATATCATCTGAGTACAGCAGAAAAGAGTAATACGACCCATTAGTAATGTCTGCCATTGATAAGGAAACACATGCGATCCATTTGCCATGTGTGATTTAAAGAACTCAGTGGTTTCCTAGTAAGCTACAAATTTGATCTTCTAATATTAACAGAGGAAAGATAATCTTCATATAGGGAAGTGAGAACTGGATTTTGAAGCCCCTATTTTTGTGTCCTATTTGGGTGGCATAAGCAATTTGCAAGTAGCTGCTAACCTAAAGCTGAGTGGTTCAAACCTATCCACAAGTGGTACTCCAAAAAAAGTCTAGCAATATGCTTCTGTAAAGATTACAACCAAGAAACCCTATGGAGTAGTACAGTTCTACTCTGTAACACATCAGAATGCATGAGTCGGAATTTTTTTTTCCCTAACTTTTGTCCTATAAGATGAATCTTCTCTAAGGAAAACTATTCACTGATTGCCCTCCCACCATGTGGCTTTGCCTGCTCTTCTCCTGCTCCACTGCTCTGTCTATCCTCTCACTGCTGGTATATCTTGTATCATAGAAGTGCTTGCCATAGTATCCGGTGCCATGGTAGATGCTAAATTTCCAAATTTCACTCTTAATGTTTTGCACATAACCTATGGCCCACCTTGGTCCTGAAGAGGACCCTGAGTATTCTCAGAGCTTATTTTGTTATTATCTTTTCTGTTTAAACTGTTTCTGCTTCTGCTAAACCACTGAACAAGCTATGGAAACTCCAGTAACATACCAGTGCTTCTGTTCCATTGTATGATGTCAAAGTGAAAGCATTTGCAAAAAAGCGAAACTGCGGAAAAGAAAACAACATTTGACATTTGACAGGCACTTATAAGACTGTGGTGGCTTAGAACACAGACACAAAAGCATTATTCATTTAAATATTAAGAAAGAAAACCTGTATTTCTGATTATAAAACATTTCTATTATTAGAATTAAAAAATAAAACATTTTCTAAGTCTAAAAATGAATAGCACTTAATCCCACTACCCCAAGTCAGCCACTTGGTATATTTCCTCTTTGTGATTGTTTTTCTGCCCTAATGGAGAGACATTACAAAAGAAAGCATAAAGAAGCCATCTCTTGGAGAGTTCCGGTAAGATGGCAGACTAGGCAGAAGGACTGTACAGACCCTCTTCAACAAAGAAAAGGGAAACCAATTAACACAGACACAAAAGATAATCTTGGACCCCTGAGCCTTGAAGGGAAGGATACAAAAGTGGACTAAACCCCAACTAGCAGAAGAATTTGCATGAAAATACCAAAAAAGGAGACACACAGAGCTGTGGTCTGGCAGCA